GCCTGACCAGGGGCTGCACCTAGGGATTGGGCCTGCCCTCTGCCACCCGGGAGCAGGTCTAAGCCAGCAGGTTGTTATCTCCCGAGGGGTCCCAGACTGCGAGAGGGCACAGGCCGGGCTGAGGGAGCTCCCCCTCCAACCCGAGTGCACAAATTTTTGTGCACCGGGCCTCTAGTCCTATATAATAAAGAGCTAATATGCTAATTAGACCAAACAGCAGAACGACTGTCCATACATTCCGGACGATTGTCCTACAAAGCCAGGGCTGTGAGGACCGGCTGAGGCTGCAAGGGGCTGTGAGGACCGAGCCCTTTGCACAAATTTCTTGCATCAGGCCTCTAGTTATGTATAAAAAGATAAAATAAGGGTCAAGCAAATTTGGAAAATATGAGGTTAAGTATAAGCAGATTTCTTTTTTTTGGTTAATCCTCACCCAAGGATATTTTTCCATCGATTTTTAGAGAGCAGAAGGGAGGGGGAGAGACAGAGAAACATCGACGTGAGACACACAATTGATTGCCTCCCATATGAGCCCCAACCAGGGCCAGGGATAGAGCCTGCAACCGAAGTACATGTCATTGACCAGAATCGAACCTGGGACCCTTCAGTCCACGGGCCGCCCTATTCCACTGAACCAAACAGGCTAGGGCAGTGGTCGGCAAACTGTGGCTTGCGAGCCACATGCGGCTCTTTGGCCCCTTGAGTGTGGCTCTTCCACAAAATACATGCGGGTGCGCACGTACAGTGCGATTGAAACTTCGTGGCCCATGTGCAGAAGTCGGTATTTTGTGGCGAGCCACACTCAAGGGGCCAAAGAGCCACATGTAGCTTGCGAGCTGCAGTTTGCCGACCATTGGTCTAGGGCAGGGGTGGGCAAACTTTTTGACTCGAGGGCCACGATGGGTTCTTAAACTGGACCGGAGGGCCGGAACAAAAGCATGGATGGAGTGTTTGTGTGAACTAATACAAATTCAAAGTAAACATCATTACATAAAAGGGTGCGGTCTTTTTTTTTTTTTAGTTTTTTTCATTTCAAATGGGCCGTAGTTTGCCCACGGCTGGTCTAGGGCATAAGCAGATTACTGGAGTACCAGTCAATAGTTTTATGGTGCTGTTCTTTATCATTCTCTAACAGAAAGGATTAGTACGTTTGCCAAACATTTGATTATAGAACCCTTATTTCATAGAACATCACGTGAGAGTAGTATTTCATGGAACACTCTGGAGAAGCTGCTCTCTGCAATCTCCTTCTTACTCCTGCACTCACACCACTTACATAAATTGTCCACCATCTAGACTCAACTCTTCAGGAATGTCTTGTTCTATCCCTTAACACAGTACATAGTTTAGTTACTTTCAATGAGGTGAGATTAAAGTGAAAAAGATTATCTGGACCCTCACAGGTGTGCCCCAAAAGCACTGGAAAGATTATTCTGAATTAGGACCACCTATGAATCAATATGAAAGAAACTGACCCACAGATAAGCGGCAATAGAGCAGTATTAACCTTTGCTAGTATCTATAAATGCTACTGAATTGTCATGACACTTGAAAAGAACAAGTTTATTGGAAACAAATCCTATTAAACTGCTTGAGATGAAAAACTTGATCTTAATATTCTCTATGCTGGTTTACCTAGACAGAAAAATGAGTGCATTTAGAAAGAGGAAACTTGAATGTACATAAACTCCTAGAGACCAGGGAGTTTAGTCCTTGGAACAATAACCCATGTGTCACTGGAAGTCTTACTCTAAATATTAAGTTCAATATGTACAAAATGTATATTTCTAAGATGCTTGAAAAATTGATATTTTTTTCTCTTTAATTTCATGTTTTTTAATTTATTTTAGAGAGAGGACAGAAGAGGGATAAAGAGGCAAAAACAAGGGAGAGGGACAGAAAGATAGAAACATCCATCAGCTGCCTCCTGCATGATCCTTTTGGGGATAAAGCCCACCACCCTAGCATCTGCCATGATTGGGAATTGAACCAGTGACCTCTTAATTCATGGGTCCATGCTCAAGCAGAGCCACACCAGCCAGATGAACTGATATTTTTACAACCAATCACTGAATAAAATGTACGTTGCTAACTTTTTGTGTACAATGCCTCTATAGTGACATTAAAAAAATTTTTTTAAAAAAAGAGCGCTGGCAGGTGTGGCCGAGTTGGTTAGGTATTGTCCTGTCCACAGAAAGGCTGCTAATTTGATTCCAGGTCAGGACACATGCCTGTGTTGAGGGCCCAAGCCCCAGTCAGGAAGCATGCAGGAAGCAACCGATCCATGTTCTTCTCTCATCGATGTTCCTCTCTCTCCAATCTTCTCTAAAAATCAATAAAATGCTTTTAAAAAGAAGACACATACTCCTTTTTATGTTTTCAATATATTAAAAAGTAACAGTATAAAAACGCTATCGTTATTAAAAAGGATCCAAATATATCAAGGAGTGAATTTGTATAAACAAGTTCTACAATTAAAGGGAAACATCTTGATACATAAAAGTTTTAACAGGATTTAAACATTTTAAAATCAGAAAGTGTTTAAGACTTAACTCTTTCAAATGTTCAAACAGAAAGACAACATGTACAATCCCTATAATAAAACGTGTCCTTGCACACATACCCTGGGCACTTTAAAAATTGTAATTTTTAAAGTTTGAGTAATAGAGGCAGCACTTAAAGGCTTTGTGAACCTTTTCCCAAACAAGCATACTTTCATAAATCATTTTATCTGACTCTGCATTTGCATTTTTGTTCTTCCTAAAAAGGAGAATTTACACTAACACTGAATTTTTAATTAAAAGGAAAAAACATTTACAGATATTTAACTTCCTGAGTGACTTCAGTTGTTCAGTCAAACATGATTTAATGAGAAAATTCTAATACTTTAGAATGAAATAGGAACTGTAGATTTACACTTGATACCCAATTAGGGCAAAACTCAAAGAGCATGTCACAGACCTTATACACCTACATTCTCTATGAAATTAAACAATATAATTATTTTCAAACTTTATCAATAATCTTTCTCAAATGTTAGTGAAACGAATCACTGAAATTACATTTTCTCATTTGTTCAAAAATACTACTGTATTTTAGACTACCAACTTGAATGTTTTCTATTATATACACAAAATGTGATTCACTAATAAACAGGTTCTTGCAATACAATAGAGAAAAGATCATTAAAATATTTGCTTTATGATACAACCAATACAGATAACACGTGCTTTCCCCAATTTCTAAAACGATTAGAAATTGCGGAACTTTCTTTTGCGCATTGAACGCTTTCCTCTTCATGAAACCCTGAGGTGAAAGGTTATTAGTGTAAAAACAGTAATCACAAGTCTTCTCATTTCTGTATTAGACTATAGCTACATTTTAAAAGTTTTATAAAGAAATGTGGCATCTTATAAAACTGCTCTGTACAGTTTTAACAAAACATTTCCAGATCAACTTAGTCCAAAGGGCCTAGGATGACCCTATAAAAACAATGTCCTTTGAACACTTGTTAGTTTCGAGATGAATGCCACTTTCCAGCTCTACTGCTGTCTCTCCTGTTATCATGGTCATGGCTCCAGCCATCGTGATTCCTGTCTTCATAGAAGTAATCATCTCTGTGTCCTCTGTAATGCTGCTCACGGCTATAGTGTCTGTCTGCTAGGTAGGGATGAGAACTCTGCCTGGCTTTACGCAGTGATGATTGTGCATCTTGACGCCACTGGGAGCTTGAAGACTGGTTGTAACTATGATTATGTGACTGAACTGATGGGGGAAATCCTGATTGATCAAGATGTGGAGAACCAAATTTCCCGCCATATGACATCTGTCTCAAAACGTTGTTCATCTGAGGTAAGACAAAAAGAAGGAAATCTTAATTGCAAACATTTCTACATATCAAAGCCAATGCTTAGTCACAGTTAACTAAACTAATAATGACAGAAAAGCAAAATCACTCTTGCCTAGATGGATCTTTATT